CGAACTGGTGTGCTCTGTCTACTGTATAATAGAAATGGAATGTAATAGGTTGATAACGACCAAGTAGGATGTTAATGTCTAATATTCTAAAAAGCTGAAGATTATTGTTTCCATCACTCCAACTATATATACATTTCTATGACAGCAATTGCAATTTTTTGGTGTGTGCTGAGTTCATATTTTGTACACACATTTGCTTAAACTCTTTGTACTGGCAGACTATCGATCTATACACAACATTCCTCACGTATATCTTACGAGACTACACAAGATCGACCTATGGTTTGATTATTGGTGGTCATAGTGCCACCTTTTTGCCGACCATGACACTGCAATCATTTAAACTTTCAGTCCAACGTCTTGTCTATGGTGCTTAGGTTAGAGTATGATTTGGTATTCAACTCGAGTTTAGTAAACTGATGACCATTTACATGGTTGACATTGATTCATTACAACTGCATTGCACAGACTTGAACTTTTCGGATCATGGCTGCAATAAGGATGCAGTTTATTTGCATAGTCTGAAATAGTATTGGTGTTTCATGCACTATTCTTGCCAAAACCAACTTTTTAAAAAACATTATTCATGGCCAATCAAGTTTAGTTTATTAATTATTCTTATCAAGTGTCAGATCCATCTTGCTAGTGAAATATTAAATATTAAAAATAGTAGTGCAGTTTTATCCTTGACAGTTTCAATCAACCCTTAATCGCTAATGCCAGGATGATTGCTTTACTGCGTTGGAATAGACTTCAAATTCGTCGCAATTTAAGCTGCAGTCTACTACAATCCAAGTATTTTAAACAAAGCCAGACTATTCTTTGCCTTTCTCCTTAGATTCCTTATCCTTAGCTTCCTTCTCGTCAGATTCCTTTTTCTTCTTGTTTTTACGGTTTTCCTTTCTTTTAGCATCTTGTGTATATATAGCGGTGGAAACAGCAGCAGTAGTTACACTACCAATCATAAATTGTGCCATGGGAAAGCCTCGAGGCATGATATTGACTTGAGTCGAATCATGACTGTTTTCGATGCTTACTTTACGTTTATCAAGTATTGGTGTAGAGTTTTGCATGGATGAGCGAGTGCTGGATTCCAAACTGCTGGAATCTTGTTGGATAGGTAGCGACTGAGAGTCTGTAATCACTAGTGAGGATACGAGAATGACAGCCAACTTCATGTTTGGATTTGATATATTGTTTTTCAGATTCAATAGTATAAGTGGCAGCCAGATAATTGAAATGCACTTTGAGTGGATAGAGTTATCTGAGTTGACTTGAATTGGTAGCAATGTTGTAAGGATCAGGTTACAATAGCAAGGTTTAAGTATTCACTCATGCATGGACTGTGTAGAGTTCATTGCTTTGGATGAGAAATAAACTGTTTTGTAACCAGTACCAACAGTTGAACGATGAACACGAAAAGGGTGAAAACACAAGATAGTATTCATTTCTATTCCAACCACTCAATTACATTGTGTCTTGGTCATTCTGACAGCATCAATCAGTCTGCTATTGCATTCTTGAAAACCACAAGTTTTCCGTAATATTGCACGGTTAGTTGGGTTAGCATACACACTGTATAGATGGAATGCTGAATATTGTCAAATCAAGACCAACCGAGCGACATTCGTATATTGAATTGACAGCAGATTGTTGAGCAAACTGGCC